TATATATATATATATATATATATATATATATATATATATATATATATATATATATATAACTTCCTATATTCTTTTGGCATTATTTTTCTGAATGTGTGAGATCTTGGCCCACAAGGCAGAAAGTGTGCGCAAAAACGTGCATCAGATGAGTTCGACGAAGAACGGATGTAGATTTCTTGGAATTGACTGATAAGCACCATTCAGGTTTCAAATGCCGATATCTGTGGAGAAACGGTTCTCACTTCTAAAAACAGTACTCTGAGGTTTTTATGTCACTTTGAGGAAGACAAATTTTAGTGTAGAGAAAGGCAATATTGTAAGGAAGTTTTAGAAGAATTTTTGAGGATTTAAATCATGTCATCTCACATCGTCCAATCAGAATTGATTGTTTACTCAGCTGCTAAGCATGCTTTAATTAGATGTGCATGAGATGTTGTGTCTTGATGCAAATGCTTGCAAAAAGTAGGTTGGTTAGAGATGTAAGATAACTTCATCTGCAAAAGCAATTCATCATTTGAGCACAAAGCATTCATCCAGTAGGATTTGATCATATAAACCCTGCCACCCTGTCCTAAACAAATCCTGAAATAACACAATGTTGAGGTTGGTCCTGGATTTATTAGTGAATTAAAGGTCTATTTCACTGTTTTTGTTGACATTTTCTTTAAATCCAAACACATTTAGTCAGTTCAGATCTATACAACTGACAAATCTGGACTGGATACTTAAAAGATTAAATCCAGATACAGTTTCTAAACAGTGGTAGCATCTCGTACATTTTTGGCATCTAGATCCAGTTAAAAACCCAGAAATAATAGAGTGAACAAATAAAGTGAAATGTCCCTTTTTGATCTAAGAATTAATGTGCTTTTATGGGAATAACTCAGAAGCCAAAACGATAAATAAGATGGACTAAAACTCAAGTTGTGATGCAGGAAATTAGAGAAAAATATAATCTAAATAGAAATGAGAGGACAAGGCCATTTATCGTGTCCAGAAATTCAGATTATTGTTCTTTTGATAACGGAATCAGAACATTTTCATGCTGATTCCAGACAGATGTTTTTCTGTAGCAAGTGATTCCACTTATCAAGCTTTATTCAGGTTATCAGGCTGTATTATCCATCCTGATCCACAGCTACGAAGGAGACATTTCTATCAAAGTATGTGTTTGCATGTAAAGGGCTTGAAGGACTCATCTAAAGACTTAGAAGAGCACCTGAAGTATCAGAAGAGACAGTTCTCCTACCTCTTGTTGCTGTCTGTGGTTTCCAGATTCATACCGGAGTCCTTCCCGTTGGACGAGCTGTGACTGTGGGAGCTGGGCGCCGACTGGTGTCCGCACGAGGTCCCTCCGTCCCTCGCCCTCCTACCCACGCTTTCCCTCTCCCCCGAGTCGTTCCCGCTGGAGACGCCGTCCATGTCGTCCGAGTGCGGCCCTCTCTGGTCTCCGGACAGGCTCCCGGACCCTGCTCTGGAGGCCCCGCCCTGTTCCTGGCCGGGGACGCTGGAAAGGGAGCGGCCGCAGGTGCTTTTCTGCTCATTTCCTTCTAGTGTCTCTACCTCCCGGTCCTCGCCGCAGGCCCCCACCGCTCGCCCCCGACCGCTGCTGCTGGGCACAGACGTGGAGCTGTCATAACTCATACTAGTGTAGAATGCGGTTGTAAAGCTCAGCTGGAGCTACTCAAATTTAAGTGGGACTACTATTTAAACACAAGTGAATCATAGTTGTCGACTTAGAGAAAAAAACACGACAGTTTAAAAAACAAAAAGTGATTTTCCTTTTGGTGGCTTCAAGCCCTCTTTGAGGGCAGAAAAGCTTGAAGTGTCATTCAACGCCGCGCAGACAACAGATGAATTTCTTGTTATGAAACAGCCCTGGCGTGGATCCTCGAACAGATGGGATGAGCGATGGAGTCAGAGTGGGAAGATGAAAAAAAAAAACAGCTCTTGGTGAGAGCAAAAAAAAGAAAAAAAAACCTTTGCTGCACTCCTGTAGAGAGGCGAGTCGCTCCAGCCGCTTAAAGGCCACCTGAAACAAAACAGAGAAGGTGCTCACAAAATGGTAGGGAAAGTCTGGAAAAAAAACAAAAAAACAGACAAAAAAACATCCCATAATATCAGCTCATCGCGTCCCCCCCTCTCCAAGGTAAAACTCCAACATGGCCTTGAAATGGGTGCTCCACTCCGCTCTGCTCTGGCTGCTTGTTAGAGAGTGTGGGTGTTGTTTTGCTCCAGCTGATGGGCTTTTTTGCACAGATTAGCCAGAAATAAAAACGGAGAAAGACAATAATCTTCAGCTCCCGTTTGAATGGTGCAACTGCATACGCACTCATGCCGATTTTAGCAAAAAAAGTACACAGTCAGTCGTCACAGCACAGTCCCCTTTTGCCCAGAAGACGATCAAAATAAACTTTACGTCAAGCGCGGGAAATAACGCTGGACGTCAGAGAGCTCTCATTCATTAGGGCTTTAATTGGGGTAGTGCCTCTACATGCCTACAAATAGCTGCCACCTACGCAAGTAGGAGTCTGGTTCTATTTATTGGCCAGCAGGTAATCCTATAAGAGTTACAGGCCGCCGTCAATCCTTTCAATTTTATACACCTGGCTGCTCCAATAGAAGCTTCCGAAACTCCCCTGCTGGCCACTGACAGGTGTGCAGAGATGCTTCGCTGCGGCATTGGTGTGTAAAAACACCCTCCCTTCCCCTCCCCATCCACCCCCAGGGTGGCAGCTCAGACAAAAAAGCTCTCTGCCCTGACGCAGAAACCAGATTATAAGAAGGTAACAGGTGTGGACAGCCAGTGACGACCGCGGCTCATAAATATATCCCAAATCAAGGTGATTGAGTTGCATTAGTTCAGTAGTTCTCGGTGCACTGGGTGGCCTTCATTAAATTGCTAAATAGCATTATGTTTAGTCAGATGGATGATGCACGCTCTGCACATGGCACAGTGTGTGAGCCGCGGCCGAACTGGGCGGGAGGAGGAGAAATAAGCAGGATGGCTGAGATGCGAGCTGGCGTCCGTGCACAGAAGAAGAAGATTCACAAGAAAGGTGGTGATGATAAAGGGTTAATGCTCCTTTTCTGAGATTACAACTACAATCTTCAATACACCTCACCTTTAAAACACCCCCATCACATTGACACATGCAGCACATGTTAAAAGGGTCAGAATGGTCTAGTCAAAGTACAGGAAATTTGGCAAGACCTAAAAATTAAAGATCATGTGTATCATTTTCCTTCACACAGGTGAAGGAAAATGATACACATGATCTTTCATTTTTAGTTTACAGACCGCTTTTAGTTTACAATTACAGACCGCTTTGTGTTGGCTGGATATGACATTTGGAAAAGTGAAAAAGCATGGATGCTCTTTGGGGATGAAACGATTAATTGTGATTAATCGCGATGAATCAATTATTGAAACAATCGTCAACTAATTTAGTAAATCGATCAATTGTTAACTGGAGTGTACAGACTCTTAAAAAAGGACAGTTGCTGAAAGAACAGCACTGCAAGAGCAGTAATTAACCCAAAAACTGTACAAAAATATATCCATTTTCCATTTAAGATAAAAAAAAACAACAACTTTATCTCAACTCTCTAAGTGGCTAAATCAGTTTTAGCTTCAGCTCTTTGCAGGAGTCGGTTCCGGGTGTAAATCAGACGGTGACGCCTCCTCATAACAACAAGATGTGTTTGATCTATAGGAGTAAAACGCACATAAACACTGGGAGAAGTGTAAAACTATACACTGGTAACTCTGCGGGACGAGATCTAAATTTATGTCCGCCCTCTCCTCTTCTGTGGAACCGGTCTCCGATTATGCAAGGTACTGTCTATGTTGGCGTGGGAAGGACCACGGCATGATATAAACGCTGTTTTGTGCTCTTGCAACACTGTTTTCTTCATAAAAAAAAAAAAAAAAAAAAAAAAAAATTAACACTTCAGCTAAGTACTGCACTTGATCTACACTGTTCAACAGGTTATGTGAGGAGACAAACCAGCTGGACCAACATCCATAGCTCAATGTGAACAACTGAATAAAAGTTCCCTTTCAGGTTTTCATTATTTTACTCTGTCAAAAAGCAGGTCGATGCTCTTATATTACCTCCTTTCTGCACAATGTAAAACTACAACTCATGGACTCGCAGCCCTCGTGTTTACAGATGTGTACACTCTGAACTGATGAGCTTCACAGCATTTAAGGTACTGAAGAAGTCAATTCCATATTTCCTCCTGATTTTCTCCAACTCAAATCAGTCGAGCATGTTTTGGCTTCGAAATGAGACGCAGCCATCCGTTTCCAAGGTAGCAGCTACAAAAAACCTCACATACTTACCAGGCATGAGCCAGTTACTGGAATCAAGGTTAGCAAGCTTTTAAAAACAACTTAATTTTCCTGTCTGTTCCCACAGGTTTCCCCATGTTTCAGGAAAACGTGCGATTGGGATACAGTAGAAGAAAGTTGCAACGATGATAATTTGAATCAAGTCACTTTTTCTGACTAGATCATTTAAAAACAGTTCTCGACAGCTCCAATATCGCAAAACTCCATGAAGCAAGAATAATTGTTTATTCTCAGCTATAAAAAAAACCAAACTAATTAGACCTCATACCAGTCCACTATATGGGATCGCTAGCAATGAAGGAGAACAACTCCTCCAGAAGTTGCCAAAGCTCTGCTCCAACAGTTGGCCAAAAAATCTGCTCATCTCAAACAAACAAGATTATAAACAGACGAGGAAACGACTGTTGAGACAATAGTTATAATGTAATAAACAGCAAACGGTCCGTGTATAATAAAGAGCCTCGACTTGAAGTTGCAAAACTCAGAGCATGAAGCCAGACGAGGGAGAACAGAAGATGAAAATAATGTGGTCTTAATTTATAATGCAAGTTGGAGCAACTCTCTGCTGTTAGCTGGAGACCAAGGACAAGCAGCTATATTTGGGCATGCACAGACTGGACCTGGAGGCCGCACTTTGAGCTGAAGCAACAACAAATCTGAGAAACAAAAACAGAATGTTCAGAGCTCGTTACATGACATTATTTGCTTGTTTTGTCAACCTTTCCCCGGATGATTATTTGTCGCATGACTGGTACAGCGAGTGACCAACATTTAAAACTAAAAAAATTAATATATCCTTTTGTATTTATCATCTCTTAATGTTGCTTGTCGATTCTTTCCTTAAATTCCAACTACAAAATATTGATTATGAATAAAGACGGTCTTAATAGAGGTGACCACTGCCCCCACACCTGGATCTGCTTGGTGGCACAAACGAACAGAAATACAAATTATTTTATTATAGACATAGATAAGATATGGGCTGGTTACCAAGAAACAGCACTTTTTTAAAATTATTTTACCATAGTGGTTTTTTCAACTGCACAGTGCTGATCAGCTGGCTGATAGAAGGCTGTTACACTTTTCCTCTCACCAAGAAAAAAGAAAAGACAAATTCAGGTGTTTTACAAATAAAGAACTGCCACCAATCAAAATAAATACACCCAGGGGTTGTTTAATTTGCATTTTCTCTGGGTCTATGACTAAAGATGAACATTGCAATACCTGAACTAGTCAATGTGCTTTAGGAACAGTTCCTCCATTTAAAAAAAACAAAAAACAAAAACAGATCACATCATACATTTTTGATATGTTTAAATACTGATATCATACTCCGAGAATCTCACAAAAGAGTTATAGGAGCAAAGAAGAGGCTGCATCATTAACTGTTCGGATTATTCATTAATTTAAAAAAACAATAACCTTTATAGCCCACTTTGCATTCACCGTTTGTATGCAACAGTAAAATAAAGACCTAATCTGTAGGATTCTGTCATAATCAAACAGCAGCAATTCATGAGCAATCAATGCAAGACACACAGCAGTAATTGCTTGTGCCAAAACAATCACCTGAAGTAAACCGCTGCAGATTGCGCATTGACAGCAGAACGATGCAGTCCGTGCGTGAACAAGTGTGAAACTCCAAGAAACAAACGCTCCTATCTACGGATCCAAGCGGCGCCCCAAAACCCCGCAACAGCACAAATATATTAGAAAATAAAAAGAAGAAGAGACGTCGCGTTGTTATTTCGCTCGGCTCTCTGCGCAACTGACGCGCGCACCTCAGCAGCTGGATCCAAGCTATTCTGCCTTGCGTACACACACACGAGCACGTGTCCGCGGCGGTGTTTTCCGCGAGCCTCGCGGAGTGCTGATTGGTCGGCTGGCTAGACCAATGAGAGAGCGCGCTGTGCTGAGAAGGGATGAAGGAAGACGGCGTGCCAGACACCAGGCTCAGCTGCGACCAGAGGCGCGCGTGTGTGTGTGTGTGTGTGATCTGCAGCACACTGAACTGAATCTAGATCAGCGTTAAATGACACAAAACCCCACATCATGAGGGAAAAAAATGTGGAGATAAAATGGAGGAGTTAAAATGTGTGTGTGTTTTTTTTTTTACTATATATTCTCAGATCACACATATTCTCTTCCAGATAATAATAATTAATCAACATTAAAGAGAGCTCTGACGAATAAAATGGGTTCAAGAAGATCAACTCTTCTTTACGGCTATAATTATTCATGCCATTTCTCAGTTGTTGTGGCTAGATTTAGAGGAAACCTGAGTCACGTTGGCTGGTTGGTTATCCCCCAACAAGTTGTAAAATGAGTGTCAGTGGGTGGCTGACGGCTCATCTACCAGGCCACATACGACATTATGCATCATGACATCTATCTACACTGTCTGCACATTTCTCAGACAAGTGGAAAGTCTACAGTCATCTGCTACATATGGGGATGCAACAAAATAAGAATCTATAATAATGAATAAGATCTTTATGAACCCAAGATGAGCAGAAAAGCGATGTGACAGTTCGATACTGTAACCTTTCCTGGTGCTGATAGTAAAATTACATCAGCAGCAGGCATGGATCAGTGTGACATTTCCACAGTATGATAATCTTGGCTAAAAATACCTCCGCATCATTTTATCCATATGAAATCTATCGTTTGTTCATCTGCTAAAATATAAAACATATTACTTATGTTACTTATGTCATCTGGAAAGTTTAATCAGCGTAATGTGGTTTTCGCAAACCGCCAAATGTATCTTTCTCAAAAGAGCAGAAATAGAGCCTGTTTTGTAGCCAGCTAACTGCGAAGAGCAGCAACAATTAAGGCAGAGATTACTGTGTTATTTTATTCTGCAAATTGACTGAGAAAACTCCAGCAGTTTCTCTAGAATCTCATTTAAAAGGACTTCAAAACTGTGATGACAATCATTATAATGGGTTAAAACTGCATTGCTGCAACACGTTGGACTGTACATGATGGCTGTTTTACTTGTGAGCTGCGGTATTTCTCGCCGATTCGATGTTTCTTGAGAGCAGCGTGGAGAAGCTGGAGAGGGAGAGTGTGGCGTTACTCCATTCTGCGGGGGTTCCTGCCGGACTGGTGCCCCTCTTTTTGACACTGCCCTGGGTATCTGCCCATATCAAGCACCACTACTGACTCCCGTCAGTCCAGCACTTCCCTCTTCCAGTTCAGTCAAATGAGTTTAAATGGTGTGAATTAAGAGCTTATAGGTCTTCAAAAAGAGTTAACCTTCGTTCTTGTAATTGGCCTTTGCTTCATCAGCAAAACCTGAATAGGATTTGTAAACATTTAAACTCAAAATCCTATTACATTAAAAATGTTTTTTTTTATTTAAAAAAAGTCAACCTTTAAAGCGAACTGTCTCTTTTAAACCCTGTAACATCCTGAGTCTCTGTTAAATATTAAGTTTCTCCTTCATTTAAGCTATTTTAAAGTTACCCAGCTCCCACATGACTACATGATCACATAACTAGATCCAAAGTATATTTAACAACACCATCAGTTTATTAAGAAAAGGCTATTCTGCCCGTAACACTCTGATCCACATACACCCCTAGTAAAATAAAGCAGCCAAACAGGCCTAATGCACTACAAGTATGTTGACATCTTTGCAACGTAGATGTTATCCCAACGCTGGGTGTCACAGGTCAGGTCACACAAACATGACAGAAACTTAATCACCTTTGGCACCTTAAAGAAAGACTGGTTGTCCACTTTCCTGCAGCCCTCCACCCTTCTGAGAACACACAACGCACACGCACCTTCCCTTACCAACTATCACTCTGTGTCTTTTCTTAGCATTGTTCACCAGGCAACAGAGATTTATTAGAAGATAGTTTAATTTCCCCAGCCATTAAAGAAGTAAGTACAGGCATCTAGCAGACTGACAAGAGAGAGATTTCTCACCCTGCGAAGACTCAGTGAGATTGAAATCTCGTGAACTGTTTGAATGTAAAGAGTCGCAGGTCCACACGTGCCTAAATAGTTCAAAATGTAGAAAACGCCGCCTCTGCCAACGCCCTTACCACCCCACAGCGGGTTTGCTGGTTTGGCCAGACTTGTTTACAAGTAAGCTGGACGTGCCATCTTGAAACTGTGCAGTCACGATCACGTAGAGGATGGTGTTTTTAATCTCTTGCCTACAGAGGCATTTGCACATAATTAAAAAAAAAAAAAAAACTAACAAAAAACAGTACAGGTGCATCTGTGCACACTCAAGCCCTTCTCTCAAAGCTTCATGAGTTACAGACAATGAGTAAAAAAATAAAAAATACAATTGCTGCAAAAGCTGGGCTTATAAAACTACAAAAAGAGAAATTTATGGATGCTGCAGATGTAGCTTGTTGATGATAGAGGAAAGATACAGAAATTGCTGCAAAGAGCATGTTTAGGAAAAATCTTTTTCGTTTTGGGAGAGAGCGATACACCAAATCAATCAGAGAAATGTGCATTTGTCTTTAGACATTTTATTTAGAAAATCTGAGTAAATATCAACGTCTGATAAAAGAAAAGCAAGAGAGAAGAAGGAAGAAGAAGAAGTTGACACATACAAATTCTCCTTTTATATCTCATCAGTCACATACAAGGTGCCTTCCACCCATCTCTCTCCTGTAGGGAGTTTCTCTACGTTTTTCCCATCTCTGGTTAACTGGTACCTGTGTCCCTAAATCAAAAATGGTTCAAAGGAGTATCGGTTGGAAAGAAAAGAAAAAAAAAACATCTTCACTGAAACCTCTGTTATCAGTTCCATAAGTATAACACTTGCTCAAAAACCTTCATTATCAGTTCATTCTTCCCAGTAAATAAGCTAAATAAGTTTTATTTTCTAAGGAAACTAACAGTCACAACAATATGAACAACAAGTGCAACAACCTGCAGACAGCTCTAAATACAAAAGACTCACCCCTACATTAGAGGCTACCCTATGCTTGGTCTAAATTATAAAAATTATGGCTATTTTCAGTGGTGTAATAAACCAATTAAAGGCTGACATGGCATGGGTTAGCTGGCCTAAATATTTATTTAAAGTTCTAATGTTTTCCCAAAAAATTTCCAAACAAAAATTCTCAAATGTTCACTCCACATTCTGTACATGGAGCCTTTGATTGACCTCTAAGAAAGAAAGAACCTGTGATGAGCCATTGATGAGTCTGTATATCTGAATGCCTGTTTTAGATTGGCAGCCACAATAATTGACAAAACATCTTAGTTAGCATGAATCTGACATAGATGCATATTTTACATGCCTGCTACTTCATAGGTGCAATGTATCCATAAATCAAAAAGGAAAAACGAAAACAATAGACAAAAACATGAAGAAGCGGTACTATTTTCTAAGCCTAACTACTACGTTAGTATTAACACTGGTTAGTTGGTAGGAGTTCAAAGCACTGACATCTTCTGAATCACATCGGTTTGTGTGTCTATGGTTTGTGTAATAGTGCAAAACCTATGCGTAAACTGACCCTTTATTGGAATGCGTGTAGAACTATGAAGATATTTCACAGCTAACTATAGCATTGAGCTGTTTGTCAGCAGCTTAGGGCTATGACAGCTAGCATGCTAGCAAAAAAAAAAAAGCAACGGTTAAAGTAAGCTAATGAAATCCCAAGCAAGCTTACCTTATCTCTTTTCAAACGTAGCCACAGTTGTTATGATACCTCCCCGTAAATGACACAAACTTTTTCCAAGAAAAAACAGATATCCAGTCAATATCGAGTAAATTCGCGTTGTCGCCCTATGTTGGCTCTGCATACATATCCAAGCTCTCCGCGAATGTAGTTTACACGCACGGATACACGTGTGGCAGTTCATGCCTTGGCAAGTGATGTCGAAACAGCCGCACTGATTGGACAGGAGGAGACAGTAACCCCGCCCAAAACACACCCTTCTGTTTTTTGATTGGTCTGGATGGGCGGGGCTATCGGCACGAGGCTCCGCGGTCACGTTGCTCTGTGACTGGAACTGCAGTAAATTTCCAAACAACAGTGGAAACACGAGAGGACTGACCTCCTACCTTAGGAAGAGTTTACCGTAATACAAACCATAGCCTAGAACAGAAATATGAAGAAGACAACAGCAATACTACTGATACTACTACTACAACTACTGCTAAAATAACAACAACAACAACAACAACAATAATAATAATAATAATAATAATAATAATAATAATAAGAGGAGGAAGAAGAAGAAGAAGAAGGAGAAGAAGAAGAGCAACTACAATAACAATACAGACTATTAAAATAAATTTACTCATTTGCACACCCCTTGCATTGAGTACACTATTTCAAGAAAAAGAAGAACAGGAATTTAAAAAAGGACTAAGAGGAAATATTCTTTCTTTTTAAATCTGAATAAAGCTCAATCTGTATGGAAAACATTTGAAAAAATGAGCTGCATGTATTGTAAAATCTAATCATTGGCTGATTGGCTATATAATCCATGTATCACAAGTTGCAATTAAAGCTGTCCTTTTTATGTTAGGCAGCTGGAAAACTTTGAACAATGTTGTTTATTTATTTCGATGGCAATATTTTTAAACCTTTTGCTTTTATTATTGTTCAAAATATAATTTTTATGTTAGCAAAATATTTGTTGAAAAAGAAATATAAAGGGTGTTTAGACTTTTTAGTGTTGTTATTATTATTGATAACTGTTGAAAAACTTCATATCAACCTTGGATCTTTTTATTGTATTTTACTTTTTAGCCTTAGTGTGTAATAATTTACTCTTTAACCATTTATTCCTTTTAGAAATATTTTATTTTACATTTTGAATCTTTTTTATGGAGTTACTCAGCCAAAAAAAATCAACAGCTTATTTCAATGTCATTAACTATTTTAACATCACTGAATGGAAGAATCATTAATATCTTGCTGCAGACTAAGTAATCCTTCCATCAGAGCTGAGAACCACGAAGCGCTAATTACGATGCGGCTTTGCTTCCTTATTACGGCTGCGCCAAAGCTCCGGCATGCACATCTCAACGTGCTCCCATCATGACATCATGTTGCCCCCGCCCCTTACACGCCCTCATTCACCCATACACTTGGCCAATGGGAGGTTACTGAGACGCTGTAAACAGAGCAGATGTAGGACATTGAAAATGACCAAAAAAAAAAAAAACATTCTCATGTGCATAAACATTCAGGGTTTTTTGTGTGAGAGTCTTTAAATATATATGTGTAAAGATTAACTAGTACTTTAAGTATGATATTTCGAATTAACCTCTGACACAGTAAAAACCTGAAACCTTTTCAGACGTGTTAATTTTCCTCTGAGGAGAAATGCCTTACTCTTATTTGGCAAGTGGAAGTTCGCACGTAGCTTCTTCAAGGTGACAGGTGTCTTAGGATTGAGATTCTAGGTTCAAGGTGATGTAGAAATGATTCAGTTTGTTTTGCTCCCCCCCCCCCCTTAGACATCTTTGTGTTCTTTTTGCTGTAAATATGAGGTCATGGGTTATATTCTTGGATAACCCATGACTTGCGACTGAAACTGGAAAGTGCATTTTTCTCCAGGATAGCTTGATATCTTGCCAAAAAGCATGGTTTCCTGAACCAAAACAAAACACAGGAAACCCTCCGTGTTTCAGAAATGCCATGGTGTTCTTCTCCTTGAAAGCTCCATTTTCTTTTTTCTAGAGCTGATGTGTCTTCTTCGCCAATTAGCTTCAGTTTTATCTCATCGGTCCAAAGAATGTCCTTCGGAAGCTGTTGTGGAGTATCAACAGGAAATTTAGTGATTTTATCTTGTGTGTTTTTCTAACAGTTGTGGAGCTCAGATGGGTCTTCTTCCACACAGGCTGTTGATTCAAAGTGTTTGTTCAGAAGCTTGTCTTTGGAGCTCAGCTTGAATGGTTTTTAATTGTTCCCTTGGATCATTTTCTACCATCCACACTATCCTTCTGATCAACCTGAAGTCGCATTTCCTCTTGAGTGCACATGGTGGGAAGGTACCTGCAGTAAACACTGAGCTTGGAATATGACGACGATGAAATGGTTACCATTGTCCATTGGAGTATAGATAATGCCATAATATTTTAGCATCTGTCTGCGAAATATCCACCAAATCACATATAGTTTCCTCTGCTTCAATCAAAGGCATGCAGATTTGCATGGACAAATCTGCATGCCGGATTATTTTAATGAGGCATTGTTTTAACGAGCTGCAAGTTCCAACGATAGAATATGACAGTTGTTCAAATGACATCTGCAGAAAATGTCCAATGGAGGGCAGCATTGCAACATATTTTATCCACTGGATGGAAAACACTGATTTTGAATCAAATATTAAATTGGAAACGGCAACTAAAATGCTATGTTTGACTGGGAACTTTGATTCCCTAGCAAACCATAAGACAGAATAAAATTTTGGTTTTGGCTCTTAGAATTTTCTGTGTTTTGCAGGTTCACATCAAGAAGTCTGGGTGTCCCAGTCCTGTTGGGGATGCAGAGGGTGTGTGATTGAGTCAGACTTGCTGCCCCTTCAAAGAGAACACTCAAACAGAGCACTTTTATAGAGTCACAAATGTAAGTAATGACTCTGTAAGTCTTTTTTCCCCCTGGAACAATAACATTTGCTTTGTGTACATGGATTTATTTTGTATGTTTTCATTTCCAATTTGTCTAAACAAACATAAAAAAGCAGCAAAATTGGTGTTGAAGTTGTTTGACAAAATCTTATTGTTAATATTAAGTGTTTTTTGTTTTTCATGTAATGTGGTTGTTATCGTAGTTGACCTTCATTAAAATCCTAAGAACCAGAGCTGCAAAACCAAATTAAGGTTTGCCGATAAATGTTGGGCACGTTGATATATCTGTGTTCTCATGTGTAAAATTAAAATGTATGGACCCTGATTTAAGAGCCATATGTTTAGTGGTAACATCGGGAAAACGGATTGTCCAAAGTTCTGTTGAAACAAGGAAGGGGTGCCCCTTTATTTTTGTGTAAGCACTCTGATGTGGGCAGGTTCTATCTTTCTGGACGTTCAGTTTTTGTTTGGAGGTTTATGGTGTCGAGCCTGACAGAGAACATGCACTTTTGATTGCGACTTTGCTAAAGGTCAGTGGCTAATCAGGGAGAAAGAAAAGACAACAGGTGCTCATTGGGGAGAGGCCACTTTTAGCAGCAGCACAGCTTCAGTGAACAAAATTCATCAGAGGTAGTGAACTTAGTGCGCTTTGACTGCAGCGCCAACAGAACACGTTTTGATCAATCCCCGCTTTCTGGACAGTTGTTCTGTGCATTTTTTCAAACTAAAAGCCACGTAAACACAATGCGCTACTATTTAAATCGTGCCAGTGACTCAACAAGTTATTTCATCCAAACCCTCAAACATTTAAAGCAACAGTAGAATGAAACAGCAGCACAGTGCCTGAGTTGCTATGTTTTCTTGCTTCCCGAGTGACTCATGCTGGTTCATCTGCAAGTCTGTTTGTTCCCCGGCCTGCACATAAGCAAGAACAGAATGATGTGCTGTGTTTGCTCGCTCTCTCAATAACTGTGCATTTCCCAACATGATTATCGGTGTACCTTCAGTGAAGATTTGTAAAAAACAAAAAAACAAAACAAAAAAACAACAACTTTAAAATATATTCAAATTTTTTAGCAGTGGCATGATGTGACATAGGAATAAAGCCATCCTGGGGTTTAAATATGATGAGACAGATAGACCCATTTCTCTAGCCATTCCTCAAAATGGTCAGGGCATGTTAAGTTTTATAATGAAACAATTTTGTGTTTTTATTTAAAAAAAAAAAAAGAAAAAAGAAAAAGGCCCATGTGTCTTTTCAACTAGCTGTCGTCCAGAAAAAAAAAGATGAGAAAAACAAAAGTGATTTTCTTTTAATTTTTTTCAAATTAACTGTCTCACTTTGGACAAACACAAAGAAGGAGTAAGCTTCCGTGTGCTGTAGAAGGGCATGGAAAGTGTATGCCTACCTCTGTTTTTTTTTTGTTGTTTTTTTTAAAGCCATCAACACACTGTGAAATCAATTTATCATTTGACCTTATTTGACCAGACTGCTTTATTTCACATGGTTGCAAAAAACATACCTGGAGTGTTGCTTTGCAGCCATTTAGGGGTGCCTAAACACTTGCTTCCACAAGGCGCCACCTATTTCCACAAAGCTCCTTCATGGAGCTACGGTCTCCAGCTGAGCTTCTTTTTGGTACAGAACCTCTGAAATGCACTATATATTTTCCCCACCAGCCAGTCTTTGTACAGATTACATTGCCTTACATTCTCACGCAATACTTTTGAGTTACCTCGCAGTTCCTTTTGCAACAAGATTTGCATGGGAACTAAAATCTTTTGAGTTCCTTTGCAATCAGTTTTGCGTTTTCTCGCAAAGATGTACTAGTCGTTTGTGAGATGTCTGGAGTTTTATATCTTTTTCATTAGGATACAAATGTACCACACACTTACAAAATGCAAAAGCACAGCAGGAGCTTTCCATCCCTTCTCTAAGACAATAAACAGAAGCTTTCTGTAAGGATGAAAGAAAGAAAAAAAAATATAAATCGGAATTTACTGTCACTGTGACTGTAGACAAAATAGACCAGAATGTATTTGCACATTAACTGCAAGGGAATGCAAAAAAAAAAAAAAAAGAAAAAAAAAGAAAAAAAGAAAATCCCACATGTCCCCTAGGGGGCTCTGTAGGCTCCTTACGAGTCTTCGTGTTCGGAATCGATAAAAGCCGCCGTTTTTTTGGATTTTAAATAAAACAAAAACCGAGTGGCGGGGGCGAACCCTCTCGCTCTGTTCGCCGTGTGCTGCTCCTCTGGTGGAGGCGGGTCGAGTCTAAACAGGGCGTATCCTCTCGGTGCAGAGCAGGAAACATGTTGGTGTGGGTAAACGTTCCCTCCTTTGGTTGAGTTTGTCCAGAGTTTGGTTCCGAGAAGACATCCAACCGTCGCATCCCCACCAGCCTAACGGCCAGCCTCGGTCATTTAATGGCTAATTCCGACCCAAGTAAGTCTACACGCTTTTCCGGTTTCGTGTGTGGATGAAACTCGGTCTAATGCTGGCACGGACAATGATATTTGCTATGTATTTCCCGTAAACGTTTTTAAAACACTTTTGTTGTGCTATCGTGTCTTTATGTTGACGTTACAACATATTTTGCTAGAAAAACCGGCGTGTAGTAAAGCTGCTCGAGTGTCGGTTTCACATGTACAATGAGGAACACACACCATCTGACTCTCATTGTGTTGACTGAAAATGTATAGACATTAAGTTATCCCTCAAAATAAAACACATTTTAGATAACTCAGTGTAGCATTTTCTGCTGTTAATATAGCATTTAAATAATAACATTAGTTATAACTCTTACTGTAACGTTAGAGGATTTGCACGCCGCTCTTGTAGTTGTTATTTCCCTCCCATTATACACTGTTAGGATACTTTTGTGTTTTTTTTTAGAAAAACGGCAAAATTATTGACTCCAAATTAACTATTTTGTAGTTTGGAGCTGTTTAGTTGATAGAAAATCTGTTCACGCTCGTTTTTTGGCAGCTGTGTAGTCATTCATGCGTTCAGCAAATATGCCAAACAATAACAACATCAAGATTTCCATTTGAGCCCTGCTGCTTTTTGTTATCAAGTAGGATTGTAACTGAATATCTCTGTTCTGCAGTGTGCTTTCTGGAGTTCATTTCCCCCCCTCTTTTAACACTTTATTGTCCAAGACAGGCCAGTAAAACTTGTGTATCCAATTAAAGATTCATAAAACTCCTTAAATAGATTTATTTCTTTTATTTCAGAGGCCTAATTGGACCAAGAACATTTAAGAAAAATCATTTTTTAAAACTTTTATTGAGTTGGACTAGAAATTCCAAATGAACTAACTAAATTTTTCACCCCATAGCAATTCAATTTAAATTTAAGATTTATTTATTTTTTAAATTCATACTTAACTTTTTAAGACTAGTAATCATAAACTTTAAACTAATAATTCATCACTTCCTTGGCCCTAGACGCTAAACTTCATAGATTATTGCAAGCATCATAATGAGGGATGAGGAAGAGTACTGTTGAGGAAATGTGAATATAGCAGTATTTATAAAACATGTCACAATTGCATGATTTCTCAATATGGCTCATTACTCACAAATGAAAATTTTGTTTGTGGGGGAACCATAGCAAACAGGCAGAGGATGACTGGTTCAGACAATTTCCTAGAATAACTACCTGTAAGACTTAAAGCCAGGGATTATTCCTAAAATGTTTTAAACCCCTCTAACAAGATGCAAAAAATCCCCCGTGTGTTGTTGTGGGCGATGACTATGCTATATATGTTTTTCTTAATCAGGTCAAGCTTTGTTGCAGTAACTATGACTTTTGCAATTTCCTGAGTGTTGGGACACAGGAAACCACAGTAAAATGGAGTCTTTTCTCCCCTTCCACTGCTGACCTTGATGTATGTATGGTTACGGTCAAACCAGTTTTGTTTTTTTTTTTTTTTTTTCCCCCAACAAGAATTAATCTTTATTCTACATCCAGTTTATGCATATCTTATATTTTATAGAGACCTTCATCGAGCTCAACCTCATTTAGTGATGATGATTTGAATCTGAGGTAACACTTTATTTGACGGGATGTGCATAAGACTGACACGACACTGTCATAAACATGAAATAACACCTGTCATTAACATGAAGGGGTCTTTATGAATGTTGTCATGAAGTGTCATTCGGTAAATAATGACACTTTTAATCCAAAGTTGCTTTAAAAGTTGCCTTGAAAGTCCAGCTTTGCATTAAAGTGTCATTATTTCCAAAATAATGCAAAGTTGGCACTTTTAATGGACTGTTGATGCAACTTTTAAAGCAACTTTGCATTAAAAGTGTCATTATCTACTGAAGGACACTTCATGACAACTGTCATTTAATTCATAAAAACTTCTTCATGTTCATGACAGATGTTGTCATGTTTATGACAGTGTCATGTCAGTCTTATGAACACCCCGTCAAATAAAGTGTTACAGAATCGGATTTGTATAAGCTACATTATCTGGGGTAAAATAATGAAAAAAGCCTCTTTAAAGGTAACAGGGGAGTGTTATGACTGGAGATCTCTGAAGAATGTAAAACAATATTCTTTCCAAACTGAGAATCAACATCACGCCATAGATCACAGTGGTGGCAGCAACGTGCTGTGGGGATCCTTCAGCCGGGACAGTGAAGCTGGTTGGAGTTGATGGGAAGATGAATGGAGCTAATCAGAGAGAAACACTTAGAGGCTAAAAAGACTTGAAGCATCTCACCAATGTGGCTATGCTGCATCTCATGTATTAGACTGGCCCAGTCAAAGTTGAGAGCTAAATCCGATTTGGAGTAGGTGAATGATGCCACCAGCGCTATTCTCACTGTGGAGATGGTGCGTTCGGGGTACAGTGTCAGCTTTCCACCGCATAAAGTGTGTTTAAACATTTTAAAACAATCATTTTCCTTTAGCTTCACAATTAGACACTATGCTGTTTCAGTCCGTCACATAAAAATCCTAATGAAGCACTCCAAGGTTTGTGGCTGCAACATCTGAAACGGTTTAAGAGATGTAATTACATTTAGAAGGATCTGTAAATGGCTGTAAAGTGGGAGTGATGGATTTTTAACTTGACGCTGAACAGTTTACGCTCTTCTACTGAAGGAGTACTAAAGCAGCATTACTGAATGAGGCACAGAGGTTAAGTCTTTGAGTCTCCCTTTTACTATATAATCTCAGGTTGCTTGGTAAATATTTTACAAAAGAAATGTGATATTCTCTGGCCACAGCCGTTATGAAACATGCAGTTTGCAGGATTGAGACATTTTTTTTTCCTGTCATAAGTATTTCTATTGACATCAGCTTGAAAGAACTCCAGCTTGAAAAAAGGATTTCCAATATTTTCTGGATTTATACATGGCTTGTTTCAATTTTCTGACGTGTAGTAAAAAAAAAAAAAAAACATTCAGTAATTTTTCGCAGCAAAACCCCTTTTTTTTGCGTATTTCTGGAGAGATTAACTTCAGTATTTTCTTCCATCATTAAAAGAGTGAAGTTGTTGGACTGAGTTGAACAGTGTTGTGTATGTAATAAGCAACAAGGGAAATAAAATGTCATCAGTATTTCCTTGATCAGACATTATAAAAGGAATATTAGTTTCCTCTGATCACTGGCTGACTTTTTAAATATCATTAACAGCTGATGAAAGAAGATTGTTTTTCATTTCATAAATTTTAAATGATGAAACCTGATGATGAATGCAGAGTTAAATGTGATGAGACCACCTTCTTATTAGTCTTTTAAGGAGTCCCAATAAAGGAGAATATTTGACTTGTGTGGCTGGACATTACATTCTGGAAAGCAGAAAAATGAGTCAAATTAATCAGTGTAACTGGAAAGTCATGGAGTTGGACTTCCTTTAATTTACAATGTTGGTACGTAGCTCTCGGTTAATATTCTGACTCGCCACCCGTCATCTCGATGTGTCTTTATTTTTTTAATTTTTTTTCAGTCTCGCAGGATCTAGGTTTATTTTGGCTCGGCTCCAAGTCCTGTGTAAATACCCCTCTAATCTAGTGTTCCCTGGTCTGTTGTCGTGCTTTTATTGCTCCAACTGATCTGTGATTGTTGGACACTTTAAGGGGTCGTGCCTGAACACAGCCTGCGTACTGCGAGCTACTCACTTCTTCACAAAAGCACATGAAGACATTGGGTCACAAGACGGTCAGTGAGCAGACAATGTTCAATGTGTTCAGTCTGATGCAGCAGGAGGCTGGGACAATGGAAGAGGCCACATGAGTGGGTAGTGGGACAGTATAACATCTAAACCTTGTGCTCTGGCACGTCTCAAATGAAATGCAGAGTCAGGATCTTGGAGTTATTGATTGATATTGGTCTGAATTGTGAGCGCCAACCTAGTCTTTTCTTCTTTTTTTTCCCCCCCCGACTTTTACTATTGCCATCCATTCACTGATGTGGACAGGAAAGCAGACAAAAGCTCTCTTGTGTGTTTTTGCTGGTTTTGCTCACATGACTCGTATGCATTAGGAGCCACAGCGGTGTCCACCGCTGCCTGATTGTAGATTACAGACTACACTGTGGTTACTGAAGATAGGAGCCATGTTCAGTAACCGATTGATCGGCATCAATCGGTGCACCCTTAATTACGATCATGACCTTACTCAGCCGATACTTGTGGCACCGATCTTATCCTACAATCGTATCTACCTCTTCAAAGGTCTGAATATCAGCCACTGTCTCCCTTTGCGAGAGGATTGGCTGACAGACCCGCCTACTGCGCAATGTAGAGCACTGCCTAATGAACAGTTAAATTAAGTTTGTATTTTTTCACAGTCATCATTCACTGATTTCAATAAAATTGGCACATTCAAGCGGAGGCAGGGAGAAGCTTCAGTATTAAAAGTTTTTTACTCTATCTTGTACAGTTGAATCAGATGTTTAGTTTATTGTCTTATGGAAAGCCAAATGTCAGATTAATGAGAATAATCCTTCGTCTGTAAACTTTAGGAGTTTATATACACTAAGATTGCTATGCCTTTAAACCTCAGACACATGCTGCTGCCTTGCATGACAACATGGATACGTCCAAATATATCAAAAAGATGCTGAAGTAACAAAACGTCTGCTAGGACGTTGAAGGTTTGGCACAAGTAGGTCTTCCAAATGTACAATGGCCCTAAGCGTCCAGCTAAATTAGTTACAAGATGGCTTCTAAAATTTGTGGCAGGAAGCTTTATCCTTACAGATTAAAATCGTTTCTACATGTACTAAGACTAGTAAGACGATGTATGTAAACTTGTAATTTATCGAAAGTTTAAAAAATAAAAAAATAAAATAAAAAATCCTTCCCTAAATCTGATACTCAGAAAATAGAAATAGTTTTGGTAATCCTAACTGACCTAAATTACAAATTTTAGTCTGATGTCTGACGGTGAGGCTTGTCTTTTTATGTAGTGTGTTTAAACATGTGGTTTCAACTGTATAAACATTCCTGCTTCATGTAAACTGGATCTGAGACCAGAGGTCTGGTCTTTCAACTCTTAAAGGTTTGGAGAGTTGAAGGATAAAAAAAAAAAAAATTCTTTCTTCCCCCCCGAATCTTGTAGGTAAAATCTCTACCAGATCTGTTGAATTCATTTCTTGCTGCTTGCTTTGTCTTGTAATTCTGTTTTAAAATCCTAATTCTTTTTTCCCCCCCTCTACTTTTTTCACAGCGAACACCACAACTACTGGTGGAAATGGTGAAGGAAGTGGCTCAGACTATTTAGCTTTTGCCTTAGTGTTGGCTTTCTTCGTCGTGGGCCTTACCGGGGTGGTGGTCTGCCACGTTCTGAAGAAGAGGGGCTACCGGGTCACCACCGCCCAGGAAGACGACGGATATGATGATGTGTTTGAGGAAGCCGAGGAGGCTGAACGACGAGGTAAGAGACGTTTATATTTACGTGATTTATGCACACAGCCCGTTTCGCTACGTAAACCAAACGGAAAGAAAAAATACGTTAGAACTTAAAAAAAC